ATCAATCTGGACGCGCAGTCCGTCTTTGACGAGGTACGGAAAGAGGGGAACCGCGTCCACGATCGTTCTAGTGGCGAAGAAGCACTTACGAACCGAGACGAGAAGAACTGGATTGGGGAAGTCTTTCACCAAAGGGTAATCCGGATACAGGCTGACCTTCGGGCACACCTGCTGGCCCCTCTCAGAGTTGTCTCGGCGGCGGTTCTCGTCTTCAGAATTCTCCTCCTCAGGATTTGCCTCCTCAGGATTTTCCTCCTCAGGATTTTCCTCCTCGTTCCCGAACTCGAGTGTGTGCACGACGGGCGCATAGTGACTGTAGGTGGGATGGTGCACGATAAAGTGGGTCGGCTTCTCTCCGGCAGGTACCCAGGTCTCTTGTATGCTGAAGAACTCACCCGCTTGGCCGCCCACGGATACTTCCTCACACCTTCGCTGACCAAAAACTGAGGCGACCCCGTTCGGGTGAGTCGGGCACTCCAACTGGAACTGGGCAACTGTACCCATTTCTGCGTAAAGCCGTCCCCAGTCTCGTCCCGCATATGTCAATCCAGTGAACAGAGTGCTGACCAGCCTGGCCCCCGCCGGGATGGAGCACGAAGAATACCCCTCCCCCGCTGTGAAGACCAGCTGAACCCACTGGTCTGTTAGTTCCTCCACCCGTCTCCAGATCCGCATTTTACGGAACGAACTCGTCTTTACCGTAGGGTTCACCAGCTCTTCCCACGACGCATCCCATGACGCATCATCATCATGTGTTGGGTCAGCCCTTTTCGGCAGTGGATCCACCTGGTTAGGCCCACCGATCGTTGTCGGGTCGTTTGCTACGGGGTCCTCTTCCGGTGCAGAGGCTGAAGCACCGTCGTCTGAAAGCTGTGAGCGAGCAAGTCCGTAGAAGCAGTAACAGTCGTCGTACTCCTGCTTCGGAAATTGTGCAGCGTCAGTGTCACCGTCGCGAAGTCCGGTCAACCGGTGGAGGGGGCAGATATCGCACGTCTCAGCGTCCTCAATTCGTACTACCGGGCCACGAATTATCCGGTGCCCCCTACGGTAT